GGATGGTCACATCCGTTTCCCCGACTTTCTCTCCGCAGCACCTCTGTCTGGACTGCTTGATGCCGCATCGGAGAGCCTGCTCCGCCTGCACAGCTCTGTCTTCCCGGCGAGACTCGGCACCGGGGGACTCGCCTGGGGATGCGGAGGGTCTGGAACCATCCATTCTTTGAGCAGGGTTCACGTTTTCTATTATGATTATGATTTATTATTATGATTACTTTTGTACATCCTGAGGACCCAGGACAGTGTGTATTGGGGCAGGGTCTGAGATAAGAAACATATCCCACTTGATGGAAGGATTCGTGACTCAGCAAATCATCAGGAAAAGGAAAAGCGAGAGTTGAAAGAAGGGGGACTCCCAGCTCTGGGGGGACAGGCTAAGGAGCACTGACCGGGAGTCAGGCATCATGGGAGACGTGGATTCTGCTCCTGGCTCTGTCTCTCAGGTATGCTGTGTGACCTCAGGCAGATGGTGTGACCTGTCATCAAGTCTTCTGGAGCCCCACGGCTGAGGGTCCCAAAGCAAGGGCCCTCTCCTGCCTCTAGTGCGGGAAGGGGCCAGCCTGCCCCGCATGATTACCCCTGACAGTGACACGAATGTGTTGGGTCTCTGGATTCGGAGGAGGCAGGATAGAGAAAGGAGATACATAAGCTTCAGGGGCAGGCTTGGGCCCAAGTCCTGTTGTGTCTCTTGGTTGGTCACCTGGGCAGGCTGAATGACCTGAACCTCAGTTTTCCCACGAGCGCAATGGGAATAACCATCTTGCTGAGTAGATTGTGGCGGAGGGCCTGGCACGGCGCCTGGCACACAGAAAGTGCGCAGTGACAGCAGCCGTGAGCTCGAGCGGGTGTCTCTGAGCGCCTGTGCCGTCAGGCGGCGGGGAGAGCGGGGTCCGGGGCTACTTTCCCGGCAGGTGAGCTTCCCGCTAAGTCTCCAGCCTGGGCGCCGCAGACGAGGCGGCGTGCTGGAATGCATGGCATTTTTGGAGCCTTCTCGGTAGGAATGTGTGACAGACAGGAACCGATGGGGGTGGTGAAAATCAGGCCGAGCAGCCGCTGCGCTCACACCCCGTGGCGTCCAAGCTGAGCCTGGGATAAGCTGCACCTTCGCCATCAAACACGCGGCCTTTGTTCCTTCCGGGAAATGGTGGAACTGACAACAATGGCCGCCGCCCATCGAGCGCCTCCCGAGTGCATCATTGTCTCACTTAATCAGCAGCACGGCCCATGAGGTGGGCGTTTCATTCATGCTGGAAGAGACAACAGAAGCTCGGAGACTGATAACTCACTGAGTCACACGGCGGTGCCGGCGCCGAGCGGAGACTGGAACTGGTGTGCGTCCCCCCAGAGCCGGGCAGTGGGCCATGACGTGCTTCACCTCCAGGTTGATGACCACACCCACTTTCCAGATGGGGAAGCTGAGCCCAGAATAACTCACTGAGGACAGGGAAGACTGGAGCACGCCTGGGGGGGCAGGGCCCCGAGCCCCGCAGGGGGGCGGAGGCGGTCCGCCTGTGCTGCACCCAGTTGGGAAAGCCCCCCTGGAAAGGAGGAGAATCCGTCTCCGTGCCAGTGCAGGTCCCTCCCTCAGCCCCTGGGCGGGAGCAGCCCCCCCTGACCTTCGCTCCAAATACAGATGGGCCTGGGGCGCTCTGGGAAAGCGATCGCAGAATGACCAGGAGGAGCAGAGAGGCAAAAGGGAACAAACAAGCAAAGAACAGAGGGAGAAGAGGGGAGGAGAGGAAACTGAGGCACAGAGAGAGGGGTGACCCAGTCACAGCAAGTCAGAAGCGCTAGTCAGCCCTGAGCCCAGACTCAGGAGCAGCGGGCCATGGGAGACAAGTGGGAAGACCGCTGTCCATGTGCCCGCACCTTGATCTTGGAATTCTCAGCCTCCAGAACTGAGAGAAAGACGCATCTGTTGTTTAAGCTGAAATAAATAAAATAGATAGATGGCTGGGAAATGGTAGGGCCTGGCATTGATCTTGGAGAGTCTAGTTCCAATGCACACATGTTCTTCATTAGACCAGACCAGTGGTCTGCAAACTGCGGCTCACGAGCCACATGCGGCTCTTTGGCCCCTTGAGTGCGGCTCTTCCACAAAATACCACGTGTGCACGTACAGTGCGATTGAAACTTCGTGGCCCATGCGCAGAAGTCGGTTTTCTGCTCTCAACAGAAATTTCATTCGTTGTACTGTTGATGTTTGGCTCTGTTGACTAATGAGTTTGCTGACCACTGGACTAGACTGCCTGTTGAGGTAGGGCCACTAGACCCATTTCACAGATAGGGAAGCTGAGGAGCAGGGAGGAAAGCAAAGGCTCATGGAAGGAGACTGGCAGCGAGGGGCAGCCCTGGAGGAGGTGGAGCCCAGGCAGAGGGGTCCCGCAGCAGGGTGGGAACCGCGACATGTCAACTAGGGGCTCCGGGCCGTCTTCTCCTGGACAGCTACAGGAAGACGGAGAGTGGGGGGATTGTCAGAAGCATCCCTGAAGGAAAGTGAGCTCGAAAGGGAGTGTGGGTGGAAGGCCAGGAACCCAGGGGCTGGCTGGGCTGCTGCTCTGCAGTGCCATTAGCAAGAGCCACCTCATTGTCCCTTCCTGTCACCTTCCTGAGGCGCCATCCAGTGGGGTGTCCCTGCAGAAGTGGACAGTGCAGAGGGCAATGTGACCAGCAACCCGATTCGCTGTGCCCCCGTGACACGAGCCTGCCCCTGCTGGATGGAACCGGACTGGATGGCGGGAACAGGCGGGAACTGCCTTTTCTGCCCTGATGCGGAGGAAGCCCACCTGGTGCAAGAGGAGCAGAGGAAACAGGAAAAGCTGGCAAAAAAGGGGAGGGGGAAGGAGAAGAAGCCTTTTGGAGACACAGGGACTGAGGTGGGATGGCCCACCCAGGCCCCTCCCCCAGCCAGGACAATGTCCACATTCAGAGGACCAGCACGCCACCCTGAGATAACTTACTGATCTCCCCGCAGAGTGCTCTGTGCCATCACCTGCCTCCCAGGGCGGCTGGCGCCCTCCTCCTCGGGACCCAGAGAAGCTCGCCGGTGTCCAGACCGAGGGCAGCCCTGGGCGCTCCTCTGTCTCCCCCGCCCCCCGATAGATCAGGCATCGTCTGGCAACCCACAATTCTTTCTTTTTTTCTCTTAAAAACCACTCTCTTGTTTGGGCAGAGAGGATGGCAAGTTCGCACTTGCCCTCCAGCCCTACACATAATTGGTGGCAGCAGGCGAAGCTGCTGAGAGGGGAGGGGTTTGCCGATGGAATGAAGGCGGGAAGTCCTAGAGCGTCAGGGCTGGAAGGGACCTCGGAGGTCATCTGACCCAACGTTGCTGTGGCCTCCGCACGTTCCCATGATCCGTGTGCTCCCAGCCCAGCCGTCGCCTTTCTCCCCAGGTAGGGCGGTCCCCAGGCCTCCTGCCCCGGCCGCCACTGAGCTCATGCGTCCTGTTTTCTGTGAGGACACTGCGGCCCAGTGAGGTGGGACCCGCCCAAAGGCAATCTTCAGGACTGAGCGGGGACAGGAAGCCCCGATGCTGGAGCCCGTTCCCCTCCTCCCCGGCCCACTCCGTCCCTGGGGAAGAAAGGAGACCTCTGACAAAGCCGCCTGTCACCCAGCAGATGTGGGCTGCCAATGTCAAAGGTCCGGGGACTGAGTTATGTTCAGGGAGATCTGTTATTGTCCCTTCCGGCCGCCCCGAGGGCTCTGGGGGCTAAATGGGGCCCAGTTGGCTCCGGAACATAGTTTTCTGACGGCTCGTCTCCGTCAGACTGAAGCCATCGCCCAGAAGGCCCTCCCCTCGCTCATTAGTGGAAGGCGAGGGGCTGGGGCGCCCTGAGCGTGTCAGGGGCGGTGGCCGCGGCTCAGGAACACATACTTTGCCCCGTTTTTTAAAATCTCATTTATCTTTCTGCAGCTGCCCCGGTCGTGGGAGGGGTAAAGGATTCAGGGGCTGGTCAGGACCACATCTCTTCTTTTTTTAACTGATTGGGGTGACATTGGTCAACCTGAACATGTAGGTCTCAGTGCTACAAGATCTGTGTATTGCACCGCGTGCCTACACCCAAAGTCAAATCGGGACCAGTCCTGAAGCCTCCAGGGTAGTCTGGAGCAGCGCTGGACAGTCTCTGTTTGCGTTTGCACACATTAGGCAGATCTCTGTAGGATGGCTTCTGCCCCTGCGCTGAGCACATTAGGATGTTTTACATGTGAGCCCAGGGCTATTCGGGTCGGGTGGCTCAGTGGGCTACCTTCAAGGCCTTCACTGCAGAGGAGTTGGCCCTGGAGCTGGCAGGTCTAGCTGGGGGAAGGCTGCTTTCTTCTTCAATTAAATCCTCAATTAAAGTGGATTCAGCACCACAACTGGGAACTGAGTTCCGGGGATGAGGCGTGGGGCGGAGTTGGGAGGGCGTACATCGGCCCGTTTTCGAGCTGTTCCGTTTTTTCAAGGTCCTCTGTGGCCGTGTCCCCTGTGTCGGCGGACACGCCTGGGCGCCCGTGCGATCCTGCCCGCCCCGGTCTCGCCGGCACCCCTGGCTCTTTGTCTCCTCGCGGAGGTGTGCGTGCAAACCTGCGGCGGCGGCCCTCATCGCGTGCGAGCGCGGGGGCGCACCCTGGCCCCCACTCTCCCCGCGGGGAGAGGGGACGGCCCGGAGCCGGGTGCTGTTTGGTCTGGAGCCGAGCGGGGTTTGCATTGATCCATTGATTGTGCGCGGTCTGCGCCTGACCTCCCTGCTCCCGGGGAAGCCGTCTCCATGGCGACCGGGCCCGCTCCCCCAGCCCGGATTGTAAATTCCTGCAGGCTGCGGCCCGGCAGCTGGGGAGGGGGCCGCCCGCGCGGGGGGAGCGGCCGCCGCCGAGGCCCCATTTGAAAGAAAAAAAGGGCACGAAAAAGGAGGTGGTGGTGGAGGAGGAGGGGGAGGAGGGAGAAGACGAAAAGGAGCGAGGAGAGGAGGAGAAAGAGGAGGAGGAGGAGAAAGGCGAAGAAAAAGAGCCGGAGCCGGGGAGCCGGGGAAAGAGCGAGAGAGGAAGAAAGAGGCAGAAAGGGCGTGTTTCTGAAGCTCGTTTCCCCTCCCCTTTCTCAGGTCCCTCGCCGGGCTCCGCGCTCTCGGGCTGCAGCTCTCTCGGGCGAAGCTGGGAACTGGGTGGGATTAGACGGAGCAGCCCCGCCGCCGCCGCCGCCAGCACGACCGCTGGGAGGGCGGGGGCTCCCTCCGCCCGCGGCTCGGGCGCCCCCAGCCTCGCCGCGCTCCCCGCTTCGCTCCTCCCGGCGTCGGGTCGGGAGAAGCCGGCAGGGTCCGGAGCCTCCAGCCCGGGTGCCGCCCGGCGCCCCGCACCCGCAGCCCCCGGCCGGGGCCCCGGAGGGGCGCCCTCCCCTCCCCCTCCGGAGCGCGGGGGCCGCCCGCTTCCGCCCTCGGAGCTGCGCCCCGGCCCCGGCCGCCGGCCCGGGAGCGCCAGCATGGGCTCGCGGCGCCTGCCCGGGCTCTGCCTGCTCGTCCTGCTGCTCCACGCCCGCGCCGCCCAGCACAGCAGAGCCGTGCAAGGTAAGCAAGGGGGGCGCCGGGCTGGGGGCCCGAGGGCGGGGGCGCGATTTCCCCAGGGCTGGGCAGGTGCTGGGCAGCGTGCTGCTGTCAGGACCCGCTCGGCGCACCCCCTCCCTCCCAGTGGGGACCTGACCCCTGGGCGCTGCGCCCCAGGCGAAGGGCTAGAAGAGCCAGGGGTGGCGCGGGGGAGTGAGAAGTTTGGGGAGTCCTGGGCAGCGATCACGCACCTCAGAATTCTGCCTATTTCACTGTCACCCCAGCATCTTGGAAATCTCTGCCCTCCAGACGTCTGAGATCGAGTCTCCTCTCAGTGCCTGGAGGGATGAGAAGGCAAACTTTCCAGCCACGCCATGGGCTTCTTCCCCTCGCCCCGGTCCTCCTGCAAAGCGAGACAGGACTTTTGAAGCAGCTGTCTTATCAGCAGGAAAACGTTAAAGCAAAGCAGGATCCTTTATGGAAAAGGCAGCTCCTCTCTCGCTGGATGGTAGGGGCTGGGGAAGAGAAGTCTGTGACTGATACTGGGCAAGAATGTGGAGTTGCTGCCTCTCGGAGGGGAAACCTCGCATCTTGCATGGCTTTCATTTCTTATCATAATATTTATTTATTAAGGCCTCGGGTTTCCAGTTCCATTTAAATCCAGGTCAGAATTGCGTTAAAATAACAAAGTAAAATTCCAGGCTGGGGAGCTCTGACAGATCCCTCTAGGAATTAAGGAGAGCGACAGGGAGGCCCTCCCGCCCCCACCCGGGACCCCAGGCTCACTGCTTGGCCAGTCCCCAGGCCGGGCTGGCAGAAACCAGAAACCAGAAACCGGGCTGGTGGAGGGCAGTTCTCCTGGGGACAGCCTCCCCTCCCCCTTGACCTCGCTGCATCGCTCCCGTCGCGCCTCACCCAGGAAGAGGTTTATGTGCAGAAAGAGAACGCCTCCTGGAGGCTTTCCCTGGAGGACAGGACTCTTCTGCCTGCTATCCAAGGACTCCGAGGCCGGCTGGGGAGTGGAGGTGGCCGGGCCAGAAGGGAAAGTTGAACTTGGGAGCTGGGGAAGCCTGATCTCCGGTCAGTCGTCCGGTCGCTGTGTCCGGGAGCCTGGGCGCTGGGTTCTTAAGCTGCTCTTTGTACTGGACGGGCTCCCCTGTGCTGAAAGGAAGGTGCTGTATCAGTGCTTCCTCCTCCAGTGCGTCCTGTAGCAGAACCAACACTCAAGAGACCCTCAGCTGTCAAACACCAGACCCCACCCCCATCCCTTCCGACCCCACACCGCTTCTGCTCCCCTCCTGGTCCCAGACTCCCACTCCCACTGCCACCCCAGCCGCGAGCAGCCCCTCTCCCACCGAGGATTTGCTGTGTTTTCATAAACAAAGCTGGCTTTTGTAGTGCGTGCTGACTTCCTCATAACATGGAATTAGCTGGGGAGTTTAGTCTGAAGGAAGGAACAGATTTCATGCGGTAATCTAGAGACAAGATAAGGGCCTCTTTCAAGTTGGAACCAGTGTCTGTAGAGACCGAGTAAGACTGAGGGGGGTTTAGGGGGGAAGAGTAAGTAGTGCTGTCAGGGGGCTCCTGGGGCAGATGGAGACTCCTAAAAGAGAGATGCCATCAAGCCAAGGAGATCAGCCCATAATTCAGGAGCAGGAGGACTCAGAAACCCTCCAAGGCACTCTCAGGCTCCCTCTTTCCTGGGGGGAGCGGGGACGAGGGGATGCAATGAAAAGGAGGCCCTGCCCTCAAGGAACTTCCACACAGTTTGCTCACTGCTTACGCACACTGGGCCACACTTGCTCCAGCTGGGCTCTGGTTCGCTTTGCGTCTTCCTTCCCACTGATCCCTGAGTCTGGCCGAGCAGAGCATCAAAGCCTTGTCATTCCAGCTGCCTTTGGCCCTGCTGTTCAGGAAATTTATCAACCTAATCTTCCAGGATTTCCCAGCAGCAGCTTTGGTGAGTTAGAGGGATGTCGCTAGCCCCGCATCTGCAGGCCAGTGCTGCAGAGGGACAAGCATTGACCAGGCAAGGCAGCCTTGCTCACAGAGCGAATCCTGGCTCCCAAATACCTTTCCTCGGTCTCACCAGTTCCACAGAGCGTGCCTTTACCGCCACATCCTTTTCCACGGAGCTCTAGCAGGTCTCCACAGTACAAACATCCAGTTACTGTACCTCTGGGATCACGGCATCTCTGTCGCTTTTCTCGGGGGGGGGGGGGGGGGGGAAGACACCAGGGAAGGGAGCCGAGTGTGTGGGTGAGTGCGTGTGCGGTTCATCAGGATCGCCCACAGGTGACACTGCTGGGGTCTGTGTGAGCTGTGACCTGTTCCATGTGAACAGGGATGTTCCCGTGTGGCTGAGACTGTGTGTGCATGCATGGTAGGTAAGCCGTGGGACTGGAGTGAGTGAGCATGAGGGTACATGGTTTTGAGTGTTTTTCAAGTGCCTGTCTGAGTATTTTAAAGTAGACAGACTGGATAACCAAGATAATTGTTAACTTAAAAGCATTAATTTGCTTTTTTTTTGGGGTGGGGGGGGCGGCGTGCAGCAGTGGTTAAAAGGCCTAATCCTGGTGCAGGGCTCAGGTTACAGCTGAATGAAAGGTCCCCTGGCCTCGGGGAAAGTGTGTCCCCAGGAGGGGCTCAGAGGGAGAGCCGAGTACCTGGCTGCGTTCTCTCCCCATTAGGGACAGTTTTGATAAAGTCCTGTATTTAGAGTTTCCCAGTAACGGGGCTGAGAGCGCCCATCGGCGGCAAACAGTGTCTCTCTGTCTCGGCGCGTCTCCCGGGTCTCTGTCTGGGTGTGCGTGTCTCTCTTTCTCCCCCCACCCCTTTCTTCCTCTTTAATGTGGCTGTTTCCTCTCCTCCCGCTTCCCTGGGCTCCTGTGGCCAGCTCTTACAGTGAGGGGACTGTTCCTCCGAGCCCCTCCCTCCAAAATATGAAATGAAAACCATAACCGTGTCAGCGGGCGAGGGTGGCCCCATGGGCAGCTGGCTAATGCCCATGCCCCGTCAGGCCACTGGGAAGAGAGTCAGTCCCCACTCTCGGAGCCTGGTCTTCAATCCAACCCCCACCCCACCTTTCCCAGAGGGTAGAGAGGGCTGGACTGCTTAGAAATTCCTCAGGAATCCCTTTGACCTCTCCTTTCGCAGTGACATGTCCCGTGGGGGTGGGGGTGGAGAGCTTTTCCAGTTCTTACCCCTCATCTCCCTGAGTCTCTCCAGGGTGGAATGAGAGAGGGGACTAGAAGACACGGGAGCCAGAAGTCCTACAGGCAGAGAAAGAAGAAAGTTATCAGCTCCCCCTAAATGAGACTGTTTTCTGAAGCCTCCAGGAGTCTGAGAGCATGAGAACCGGTTTGAGATGTGAGCGGCCGGGACCTGCTGTAAAAGGAGCCGGCCCTGGGTGTGAGTTTGGGAATGCGAGGTGAAGTGTGCATTCACTGTGTGTGTGTGTGTGTGTGTGTGTGTGTGTGTGTGTGTGTGAGTGTGTGAGTGTGTGTGTGGATCCTGTGAGAGGAAAGAGGAAGCGGGCCGATGTGAATTTTGTTTTCGTTGGAAGAGTGAAGAGTGGAACGGCCGGTCCGGTGCCGGGGGCGGGGTGGGGGAGGCCCTGAGGCTGCGGCCCCTCCGGAGGAGCTGGAGGTGGGAGAGTTGCTGCCGGAGCGCCCCCGTCCTGGCCGGTCCTGGTCCCGCGTGTCAGGGCGTGGGCCTGCTTTGGTGTCTGTGCCCCGCACATGACCGCTTGTAAGGAAGAGTGCCTGTCAGGCTGGGACGGCGGAGCTGCTGGGGGCTGGCAGTGCCCACAAGAGGCCCAGACGTGGGGACAGCTTCAGCTGGGCTCAGGCAGGCTCTGGAGCAGCCTGCTGGTCTTCGGGAGGAGCCATCGCTGTCCACCCGGGGATGTTTGCGGGAGAGGAGCTCGTCCCCGGCTCAGCTCTCCCCAGCGGCCCCTCCTCCCGTGCCCACGTGCTGCCAGCCCCCGGTGGCCGGGCGGGAGGACGGTGCCGGGGTCACACAGAGGTGGTGCCTGAGGACTGAGGCTTCTGAGGAAATCGCTTGTAAAATGGACTAGAGTGGGGCCCCTCTCAGCCCTGAGACCCTGCGAGTATCGGAACCGTCCACTGAAGGCGGAAGACGCCTTGGCCAGCCTCACCCCGCAGCCCACCTCCCGGGCTTCTGGCCGCGGCTCACCCTGGGCCTTACCCTCTGCTCCCTTCCCACGGGGCTGCTGGGCTTCTCTTCCCTTCTTCCCGCCCCGTGTCCGGCCTCGGCTTCCTGGGAGCTCCTGCTCTCCGTGCGGGCCTGACCCCCGCGCTGGGCTGAGAACCAGCGTCTCCGTGTGGGTGTGTGTGATCCACGGCCCATCGCGTGGAGCTCCGTGTGTGTGTGTGTGTGTGTGTGTGTGTGGGAACTGAGCTCTCAGACCTCATTCTCCCTCTCAGACCAGCCCCCCGCCTCCCGCTCCGCCACGCCCTCCCTCTCCGGACCCAGGCGCTCAGTGTGCTGCCACCGGCCGCTCCGGGACCATGGGGGACAGACGCTGCGGCTCTCACTCCTGCCTTCGGTTTCCCTGTGGCTGTGACCATAGCCCGAGAGAGCCGGGGGTGGGTGTCCGCGTCCCAGGGCTGGGACTGTTGGCATCGGTCACTGACGGTGACAAGCTGAGGAGAGGCCTGGGCAGAAAACCCAGAGTGAGGAACGAGGTTTTAGGAATCCCTGGGTGAGGGTGGAGTGCCAGCCTATGTGGACATGGGGGTGGGGTGGGAGAAGGGGGGTGCCCAGAGGGTGGACCCCGGGGAGCAGGTTTACAGAGAGGACGTTTTTACAAGTTTCTAATTATATTTATTTGGAGTTTTCCTCTGGCGGTTTGAAGCTGTTAACAGCAGGAACCTGTATCCCTGGTGTTTGTTTTTGTTTCTGACCAGCTGCTTGGCCCAGCACAGTGGATCCAAGGGCAGGAGACACCTGCCCCCTGCCGCGCTGCCCACCCTTCCTCCCTGCAGCTCTGCGCCACGGCG